ATCAAAAGAAAAATAAGAAAGTATTAGTTAAAAAAATTAAAGTCGGAGGAGACGTTGATTAAAATATTTTTCGTAATAAAAATTTTAAAAACTAAGTATTATATTATGTAAAATTTATTGTTAATTTAAATGGTCTACCAAACAAAAAAAATTAAATTGACACACATTTTAAATAATCGAGAAATCAATTAAAATCTTTTAAAATTTAAAAATTAAAATAAAATTATAATTCAAAATTTAAAAATTATGCGCACTATTAACTTAATAGATGATAATATTACAAAGGACAAATGAAAGGTGACTCTAACTGCAAATTATTAGCTGCCTCTTCTTTAGCCAAAAACGGCGCTTTTGTAACATTAGTATAAAAGTTGTCCTGCCAAGCTTCTCCTCTATTTACTTCCTTAGGTTTCTCTCTCTAGTTCAAAATCTGTAACCCTTCTCCACCTTCAAACAAGAACGCCAAACGAAAATTTTAAAGATTCCATATTTCGATGACTACAACCAGATTTCGGTGGTAGTTCGCCGCTTTCGTCGCGTCCAATCGTCGCTGGCCGCCGTTTACAAGTCATCAAAAAACTCAAAAAGGACTTCTTCCGAACCCTGTCGACCTCCTCAAGCCAATTTCCACCTTAGATTTCCCTAAATCTCCTCCAACAAGCCTAAATCTAGAACCCAGAATATGTTCAGCAAACACCCAAAATCAACCTTAGCCATTTTCAAACACCAAGAAAAACGAAGAAAAATCTTCGTCTCGCATTTTCCCCTACTTGATTACTTTCAAAAACCTAGAAATCCCTAAAGACAAACCCCAAACCAAAACTTAAAAAATTTTTGCAAATAGCATCTGTTTTCTTTGTATTTGCTGTTTGTGTTTGCTTGTTATTGGTGATTTTTGTGTGATTTCTCCTTGTTCGTGATTGTTCCTCGATGGTTGTGTGTTGTGCTTCATATACCAGGGTTTTGATGCCAGAAAATCTGGATTAACATTAAAGGAGAATATTGGATATTCATATTCTGATTTCATTCTTTAAATTTCCACCAATTTTTCTATCATTTCTTTTAATTTCATGGTTCTCAAGATTTCTTAAACTTTAAAACTTCGATTCTTTGATTTTCTACTTCCCAAATTTTTCAAAGAAGATTGAATCTGATCTCCAGTCTCCAAATTTTACGTTTTTTTATTAATTCTTCAAATTTATCCTTTTTTTAATTTTATCTTTATGTTTTCCAGATTTTTATTTAAATAAAAGAAAATTAAAAAATTAAAACAATGTAAAAAATGAGATGGGAGCCATTCTTTTATGGGCTTAAGACCCAATAACACATTTAGACTTAAAATCCAATCACAATTAACACATTAACGCCCAATTAATAGTCAAAAATCGAATTTCGTTATCCAAAAGGCAAATCTGTAGACCAATATTTACTCTAATCCGAAATAAAATTTAAATTAATCCAAAGATTGAATTAAATTTTAAAAAATAGATCAATTTTGCATAAACACAAAACTTGAATCTTGAAACTTATTTGGACAAACCATGATTTTATCAAGTCCAAAATATCTGTACAAAATTAAATGTGGATCTTTTTAAGTACTCTTTTAATGGTATAGATAGATATTTTTTCTGCCTCGCTAATTTTTCCAAGGGAAGACTTTTCCTTTCTGGCCGTAAAACTGACTAGATTGTATCCAACGTGAAGCACCCCATCCCACCATGGAATTTACCTTATTTTTTGCTGTATAGAATTTCACATATGGACAAGGATGACAGTGAGCCGAGTCTATGCTAATTTTTATGAATTTAATTCGATTTTATATTTATAAAATTCAAACTCAATTCAGTTCGAAAAGAAAAAAAAATTTTTATATTCGAATTCAACTCGATTTAATATTATATAAATTGTATCTCGATTTCACTTGAAATTAATAAAATATTATTTTTTAAAATATAAAATATTATTTTTAATATAAATATATATAAATAAATAATTTTTTTAAAAAATTTATATGTTGGGTCAAGTCAAATCGGATTGAATCAGATCAAATTTGTTTTAAATCTAATCTCGACTTGACCTCTATTTTTTTTTTAATATTACTTGACCCGACTTTGACTTGAAACTTGATTTAAAAAAAAAAAAAGATTTTACAAAAACAAATCATATTAAAATCCGTCGGAAGCAAATTGGGCTGCCAACCTTGGAGGTTTTTTTTTTTTTAATGAAATGCAAATAGAGTTAACTACGCCAAGGCAGTAATCCTTTTTTTCATGAAACCCGATTTTAATATCTCTCACTCACATATAAAGGATATAATTTTAATTAATTACATAATAAAATGAGAATAATATTTCTTCTCTTTGTAAAGTTCAAAAAATAAATAAGCCCTACAACCAATATATTTTATAATCTCTTATTGTGTAAATGTTAAGTACGTATAACAACACAAATATCTGACTATGTAGTATCTTAAATTTATTTAATCACATTTCAAGTAAATTTTTGCATTAACAATTATGTTTAATGATGTAAAGTATAATTGATCGATCAGTGACAATTCAACGTGATACTAAAATAAGTTTTTTATCTAAAATATATACATTTAAAATTTAATTGTTTGTTGGATATGTCCCATTAGATTAAATAATTTACGATTGTTAGTGACATTCTAAGATATTTAACATTTTGTTAATATTGTACAAAATAATGTTTTAATTTTTTAAAATGTGGTATATATCACTACCAATTGTTTTGACATATTATTTTATGTTTTTTAATTTAATAAAAATATATTTTATAAAATATATATGAATTTATACATTATAATACTATTAATAATTTATAAAATAAATATACAATATTTTTGAAAATCAAATAAATAAGTTTAAAAATATAAGAAATTATATCATAAATTTTTCATAATATTTTTAAATACTTAATCTAATCATATGATATTTAAATAAGTATTTTTCTTAAAAATATTAAGATAAAAACAAAGAGATGAAAAAAAATATCCTTTGCTTTATGATTGTTAAACTTTAAAAAATGAATACAATTGCTTGCTTGAAAGAGATTGAAATACTTATAAACTTTGGTTTGAAAAAATAATATATAAAAGAAAACAAGTTTCAATAAGAAAATAAAAAAAAAAACTAACTTTTAAGAGTTATTTTATCAATTAATTTTATTTTTATTTGATTAAAATAATCAAATAATAAAAAATAAATTAAAAATTAAAAAACATATTTTTCATTCACGTACAAGCTGAAACAAATTAATTCATTGAAGTTTACTGAAATCAACCAAAACTAACAAAAACAATCGAATCTGGTATTAAATCTTATGCGAAAAAATTATCTTTAGTAATAATTGTATTTTGATATAACTAAAACGTATCAATCGGTACTGTTAATACTTAAACAAATTAACAACTATGATCAAGAGTCTTAAGGGTACTAAATTTAGATTTTTTGACGTCACGAGTTTAAGAAACACGTATTAAAATTTTTATTACCCTTATTGATCAAATAATACACATGTAATATGAAACACTTGCTAAGATATTATTCTTTTTTTTTTTTCATGGAGCATATATCTTTATTATAATTTTAAAACAAAGAGGTGATGGTTCAGATATACTCAATATTTAACATAAGTCCACAATTTTATTTTTTCTCCAAATACAATAACAGGACCTACACAGTATTATGCAAAGAGAAATAAAATGAATTGTACATTTATTCACTTTCGATCTCAAAACTCATTGTTATTTTCGTTATCGATGACATTTCGTTTTAAACTTAAGCACTCACATTTCTATAACATAAAATGCTTGAAACTAATTTCATCTCTTTGTGGCACTGAGCCATAGACATGATCATCTGAGCGAGAAGATCAATCTTCTACTGCACATACCTTTAATATGACATATTAACTTAACATATAAATGTGTGTATGATTTATGAAACAAAAGTCGTAAATTTGGTAGCCATTAACGAAGATCATCGTCAGTCAAAACCAATCATAAATGAAAAAATAATTTTTTAGCAAGTACATCAAAACCTACACAATTTTAGATATTTAATATGGCAATTAATTATTCACATCTCTGATCTAAAAAGACCCATTTGTTCTGTAAACTTATCCAAATGCTCATTTATAGATATTGTACTGCAATTAATTAATAAAAATTCAAAATTATATATGATATATTAAAATTTTATATGAAATTTATATTTATAAATAATAAATTTTTATAAAATTTTTTATTATCATTTGATAATTATAAAATTATAAATAAAATGCTCCCCTATGTCATCAAGTTATATGGAAACTGAACCATTTACACCTAATGTAATGGGATCAACAAATTCACCATTCCCAGTTTCAGACCCTCCATTTTTTATTTTTTTTTTTTTGGCAAAGAGAAGAGGAAAGGAAAAAAAATGAAGGTAATTTTTCTTAAAAAATTTTAAACTCCACTGTTTTGAAAAAAAAAAAAAGCAATTTTTTAGCATAATAGATTAGGCGAACATAATAATTGATATGACAGTTGATTTGATAATCAAATCATTTTTCATATTTCTTTTGATAAAATCTGTTAAAATGACTAAATTTATACACATCGAAACTCAATAACTTTTGTTAGAATAAATTAAAGACGCTAATCGATACCTTTGCTCTAGGTAAACAAATGGTAAAATTTTCTACCATTACCAAGTTCCAAGCAACGGTCACTAGCAATTGGCAGAAAATTGGAAGAAGCATTGCACCCGACCCACCCCATGACCGGGTGACTAAGATCATTCTTTTTTTTTTTTTTTTAAATCATATTTTATATAAAAATTATATATCACGATTTATATTAATATAAAAATATAAAATATATATTCTTATTAAATTTAGATTTTTATTAAAATATTATCTCATACTGTTTTTATATTTTTTTTATATCATTTTAATATCATATTATAATATCATGTTTTAACTCAACAAAACCTAAAATGTTATCATTTGCCACTGAATGTTTTGACTGAATATACAACTGCCATTGAATGAGATATGAACCCAAAAACAAAATACTAGTAGATCTATTAACAGCTTTTACCTTCATTTTGATGACACAGTAAAACTACTAGAGATGTAAAGGAACCGATGAACTGGATGAATGGCTGACAAACAAGTTAAATAATTGCTTTGTTTATTTCAATTTACCGAGGAATATGAACAGCTTTGAACCAAAATTCCAAGACAACGAAAAAAAAAAGGCAACTTTGTTTTAAAATTTGAACTCGAATAGAAAATAAGTGCCAGAATGCCCTCTACGATTAAAATTTAAAACATATATAAAACACTTGAGAAACATAAAACAACACAATGGTATCCATTTGCTCCTGTCTTAAGAAAGTCCTGAACCGGTCCAACATAAAATTGAAAACCTTTAGATTTCTTTAATCTTGACATACTACCAGTGCCAAGCAGATGGCTGAAAAGAAAATGCAGCATATATACAGTATGTCTTATATTGAAACCATATTAATCACTTCAGACAGGCCTTGCTTCATAAAGAGGCAGATGATTTTGCTGCCAGCTTATCCATGACACACTCAAGCAGTTGAACATGCACCCAAAACAAGCACATTTTCAAATGCTCATACATACCGAGAATCCATAAAACAACAAACAGAATGACCAGACAAGTATATATCAACCTACTAAGATCCTTCTCTGAATCATGATGGATAAACAGCATAAAACGTGTTAGTTGTTATGACAAAGTCAGAGAATACTAAAAAAATGATTACTACTACAAGGTGCACAGAAGTCGGTTTTTTTAACTGGGCAGAACTTCAATAACAAGAAGAAACTAAACCTCCTAAGTTTGCAGCTCAATGGTAAGAGGATTTTGCAGCTGATGCAACATATGAAGCTGCTAGATGCTACACTGGCCAAGATTTAGATTTTACCCTTTCAGTTCCTATACCTGCAATTCACAAAGATTCTTCATCCAATCATCAGCCATTCCAGAAACAAGTTATGAACTATCTTGTACATCAGCCCAGAACTGTATATGCTCAAAGGAAAGGTAGGGCCATCTAATTGCCCAGCAAAGCCAAAGCCTTTTCAGCTTGGATCTCACCTCTCCCATCTGGGAAAACCCTTCTGAAGAGGAAAATTGAACATGGTTAGGGAGTCCTGACATGTATAAGCTCATGCAGACATAAAATTAACAAAAGGGCAATTGATTGAATATTCCAGGCAGTTAACCAGAGAAGATTGCACACATAATCGAATCAACCATTATCAGCCTCCCCTATAAAACCCAATGACACAACATATTCCATTCATCAGTTCACAAAAAAAAAGAATGGTTAAAATTAGACCCCAATTGAGCATTTACTATAAAGTGTAAAGAAGATTAGACGTAGTTAAGATCTGTTCTTCATTAATGTTCTTGGCTGGCAGCCTTGATTGCAACATTTTTAGTGCTACACTACGAACTATCTACAAGATAAATGTGCACTAAGATACACAAAAAGAAGTTGTACAACAATTACCTCTATAAGAACAAATTAACCAATTAGCAGAGAAGCACCATCTCATAGCCACAAATCTCACTGCCTAAGTTCAGCAGTATCAAAATCAAAATAGAACAAATATATTCTCTTTTCCCAAATATACATACAAATAATCATAGATAACTGGTTAAAACTTACTTACACATACGATGAAGAGTGAACTTCTTCATGCTAACAAGGGGAAAGATCATAATATGATTTAAAAAAAATTTCTCATAATAATAACAGAACACAAGTGAACCAGATGTCAACTCTGTCAATTTGGAAATATAACCAGAATACCACATATGAATCCTATAAGAAGGCAAATTAATTTGACAATAGGTTTGTTAATTTAGAAATAGGACAAGAGAATGACCAATGACCCAAATGAATCAAACCAGAATGCTTTTTTGACAGATATAAGTTATGCAGCATGGACACGTGCATGCAATACGGGTACGACTCAATACAGACATGACGACATGGCAATTTTTAAAAAATGAAGACACGATATGGCAGAACATGACAATAAAAAAGTATTTTATATATATTATAATCATCAGTTAAAAATATAGAGTAGATGTTAGGCTGATTTTTAAAAAATATTTACCATTGTGCAGAAAAACTAATGATAGACACAACAATAAAAGAACATATGGTGTCATTATCCACACTAGAATTATCTTTTTTTTTTCTTTTTCTTCTTCTTTGTCGTATCCCGCCAAGTTCGACATGTATTTAGGCGCAAGTGTCAAAGTGTTGGACACGGATACGACATAGGTAAGCAGAGGTTCAAAAGTGTCTGTGCTTAATAGGATATAAGTAAATAGGTCTGTACAAACATAAATATGTTAAAGTTTTATGTTACGCAAAAGAAATGCAAGTACTTCAGTCACAAACTTACCTTACATACTAGAAGGTTCTTTTTGAAACTTCAAAGAAGTTAAAATCAATACAAATATATGCCTGTAACAAAAAAAAAAAAAAACCTTCATGGATAACCCTTTTAAAGCTAGACAAAATACAACCAAACCCCAACCCCCCCCCCCACCTCTTTTTTTATTATCCCTCCCTCCCCCCCCCCCCCCAAAAAAAAAAAGAAAGATGGAAAGGATGCCTACTTCCTAAATCGTATGAGAGCAGAGAAAGGAGAAGAAAGCCCCTGTCAAGTTAACGAAATGCAAAAGAACATTAAGAACTATACTACAGTAAATCTACTTAGGCCGCATATATCCAGAAGTTGCGCGTTTCAATAACCATAACCAAAAGATTCCCAAGAGCCATCATTTATGGAAAAGACTTACTACATTAACGCGGGACAGTTAAACTAGTCACCTTCATCAGTCTTTTTCACAAGTGCACTTCCTCATTCTTTGTTTCAGAATTGTCAGCAACCTCATTTCTAACTTCTTCACAACTTGACTCATCTCTCTCTTCTTCAACAATCTTCTCCCCCACAAACTCACTGCCTCCTGCTTCATCACGCTTGGCCTCATTTTCCTTGTCTCCAACTGTTTCCTCCCTCAAATCTTGACCTTTTAATTCATCATCCCCTCTTCCTACATTCTTTAGCTTATCTTCTCTTGCAAAATCATCTTCCACTGCAATCTCGTCCGTATAAACATCCCTTAGAACTTCATTCTGTAGCATTCCACCATTATTATTCTCCTCCATAACAACATCAACATTTCTAGCATTTCCAGAAGCAAACTCCACCATTTCCACATTATTATGATCAGCTGCACCAGAGACCACCCCAACATCAGAACCACCACCCTCACTCTCAAAATCAGACCCATTCTCCACAACCTCCTCATTAACATCTTCCGCTACCTGACTCTGCCTCTCTAAAAACTGTAACCTCCTCCTCAAATCCCCCAATTCCCTCTCCATTAAAAACAACCTTTCCTTTAATGTCAAATTCTCTTCTTCCAACTGAGCAATATGGGTATCTTGATCATCCACTCTATTCTCCAAAACATTGTTATAATCACCTCCATAACTTGGATATATCATCTCAAACCTACTTAAATCATGGTCCAATCTCCTCTCCACTTCCACGTGTTCTTCCACATCGCTCTCACTCGATCCCCCACCATTTCCCCCATCCTCATCTTCCTCGTCATCATGACCTGCTTCTGGTGACCGAAGCCGAATCAACCCTTTCATCGACCCATAACCATCCACACCCCATTCTTCCTTGGCCATATCACCCAAAACCTCCCTCGACGGTGAAAATATCGGCGTAGGAAGCACCGCAGGTGTCACCGGACATGGCGACACCAAGGACGCTATCCCACCCGATTTTTTCGCTCGGATTATGAACGAAGTAGTATTCCGCGGCGCGTAAGGAGCAAAGCGGTTGTTGTTGTTGTTGTTGAATTTCTTCTTGTTGCCGTAGAATTTCCTAGCTTTTAACCGATTCTGAGATTGGAGCTCGTTAAGAGTTGGAGGTCTGTATCCTTGAATATTAGTACCGGAAGCCAAGGAAACGGAAGAAATGGCAGAAACAGAACCCATCGGTAAAGGCTTATTATCGAACGTTCTAGAATCTTTACCGGCTGAAACTTTTTTGCCCTTCCAATTGTTATTACGATTGAAAGACGGGAATTTCTTGTTAGGGTTTGCGTTTTGGTTTGGGTCCTGGGATTGCCAAGGCCTGTAGCTTCGGTTCATCATCATCGGAGGATGTAGCTGAGTCATCATCTGATGAACAGAGCTCACCGACTGCGACTGAGCCGCCGCCAATTGGTTCATCGCCTGAGAGTGAGCCGCCATCAACTGATGAGACTGATTCATCATCTGCGGCTGAACCGGGTTCATCAACATTTGCGGTGGCTGATTCATCATCTGAGACTGATCATTCATTTTTTATCAAAAAAAAAAAAAAAAGAAACGAAACCAAAGAAATCCAAAAGAAAAGAAGAAGCCCTAATTTTTCAGCTCAAGAATTGAAATTTGTCGCAAGATTCAAACGAATTATTGATCCGTTATTTTCCTTTGATTCTTTTCGTTTTTCAATCTAAAACCGAAAAATTAGAATCAATTGCTTTGATAAGCATTTTTCCTATTTTCCGCTTCGGATTCCCCAGATCTGAAAACGTCTGACTTTCTCAAGCAAGGAGGATGCCGATGGTTGTTTTTATAGGGCACGATAAGAGTCTCTGGTCGGTTAGATTTTTAGGAATAGAGAATGACGGCCAAGATTTGATGCGCGTGTCCATGTTCAAGATCCAGAAGGAGTCAGTTTTGTTTGACGGGATTTTCTTTTTTGGTCCTTGAATGTTTTGAAAATTTTGAGATGTGGCCTTTTCTTCTAAATGGAATATTTATTTTGGTAGCATGTGTTGTGATAATTTATACTTTTAACTCCTTTGATTTGAATGGTTAGCTGTCAATTCCATGTTTGCTTGTGGTGGACAAGTATAGCGTCTATAATGGATACCAAGCATTGTTTGGAGCTTAAGAAAAGGAATCTTTTTTTTTTTTTTTTAAATGGCATGGAATGTATTTTTGTAAACTTTTAAGAAATTTATTTCGTCCAAAAAACTTCAAAGAATCTTATTATCCTAATTTAAGAAAAAGGAAGTCATTCATTGTTTCTTTCAACATTATAAATGTAATCTTAAACCGAATGAAATAATATATATATTTTTATATATATGATATTGAGATTTAAAACGAGAGATAATTCTCTTATCTAATAAGTGGATGAACGACGCAACAGCATTACCCAAGTAATAATAAGTTAAAGGATGAAAGAACATCAATGGGATGTAAGTCAATCTTTTGTGGAATAAGGCCAATAGTTTAAGGAAGAGAAATAGTCCTAAGATTGGTCAAATCGTGTTATCGTACGTTTGTTTATCCTTGGTTTGTAACTTCAATTTTCAATTATACCCATTATCAATCAATATTAAGGGAAGAGTTCTGTTGCAGCACTCAACAGTAAGAGTGGCTACTATATTTCAGTCTCCAATTATATCTCTAAAGCTGAGAGAGATAAATAAAGAAAAAAAAATTAATCTTATCATTTAAATTTATTAAAATTAATGATTAAAAAAAAATATGTAAAACAAAAAAATAATTACACTATATAAGTTAATCAATCATATGCAAATGCATCGTCTCTTTCTTTCATCTTCATATTTTTATTTTTGGATTAAATATAAAAATAATATTTGTATTGTACACTTTTTATCAATTTAATACCCAAATAACTAAATTTTTTTTATTTCATACATGAATTTTCATTTTATCATTCATTTTAATCCTTCCAACTAGCATTGATAAGTCAACTTTTTGGCATAACATGAACAATCAATAAGATATTAACACGTCTCAAAATTTCAATCAACGCAATGTCATTAATTGCAATATTAGCATTAATAGAAAATTTCAAAAAAAATTAATTTAAAAATATATTAAAAAATCTAATTTTTTTTAAATCTGAAATATTTTAAGAAATTATAAAAATTTAAAAATTCAAACTTAGAAAATTCAAAAAAATTAAAAATTTTAATTAAAAATCCAAAAAAACTCAAAAAATTTTTAAAAATTCAAAAAAGTGAAAATTTTAATAAAAATAAAATTTTCTTAAAATTAAAAAAATCACAAAAGCTTAGAAAATTGAAAATCAAAAAATCAAAAAAAATTTCAAAAATCTAACAATTTATAACAAAATATTAAAATTTTCAAAAATTCTAAAAAGTTAAAAATTAAAAAAAAAAAAAACAACAACAACAAAAATATGCCAAAAATATTAAAAATTTAAAAAAAATTTTAAAAATAAAAATTTTAAAAATTTAAAATTTTAATAAAAAATCCAAAAATAAATATAAAAAATCATAAAATATATCAAAATTTTAAAAAAATTACAATTTTAAAAAAAATAGATTTTTTTTAAAAAAATTATATTTTTATTATTTTCAATTTTTTTAAGTTTTTGTTATTTTTTAACTTTAAGAAAAACTTATTTTTATTCTTTGTTTTTAATTATTCAAAATTTGAATTTTTTTATTTTTTTACTAAAATTTTGAGCATTTTTTTAAGTTTTTTAAGTTTTTTAAATTTTCATATATTTTTTAAATTTTTTAATATTTTAGTTTTTAATATTTTATAATTTTTTTAAATATTTCAAATTTTTTTAATTTAAAATTTTTTTTTTTGAATTTTTGAAAATTTTTTTAGAAATTTTCTTTTGACATTGACATGGCAATTCATGATGTAACATGTTATAATGTGTAAATTCATGAACCTATTGTTAGACATAAATTTAAAAGACTCACCACTATTATTTTTTTGTTTAAATGCGATTGAACACTTAATTGAATCTGTCTAATTTTTAAGAGGAATTTCAAGCTTAACTTGGATATCTTTAAATGGTAAATTCCAATATTACAAAATCATATTTAGGTTTGAGAGTATAGTTATAAGTGAAAAAAGTTATAACACCCGCATTACACCAATCCAAAGGATGGTATCATTTGATTTTCAGTTATCCAAGCTTCGAAACATCTTTATAATTTACCAAATAATTTATCAAATAATTTAATTATTGAAAATTGATCATAATATTACTCTAATAGTTTGGTAGTAATTTCAAATAATTTTTTTATCTCATGAGTATTTATAGAAACTAATGTCTTATTCAAGATAGTCTCTATTGTCGGATTCATTTAATTTTTATAAAAAACTTTTATTTGTGATAATGAGACTTAGAATCTTAGTATCGAAAATTTTTATCTAAATTCTTCAATATATTAGTAAAATTTAGAAAAGATTTTCTCACCTAAGAATTTACATAAAGATTAATGTTTGCAACACTCTTAGTAATTCCATCATTGGGATTCAAAATTTAATTTTTATAAAAAGTAATTTATTTCCAAAAATATCTTTCAATATGTTGGTAAGATTTTTTGTCAAAAATGTCCTCCAATATATTTGTAGGATTTTATCAAACTATTTCTTTTTTCACAAAATTAGGTTATGAAATTTTCTAACAATTTGATAGAAATAAAAAAAAATTAAATTCAGGAAAAATTTTTCAATAATTTGATAGGACTTTATGAATTTATTTTGAAAAGCCCTTTTTCTTTTTAGGAAAAAAATTCATAAAAGCATCTTACAAAAATAAACTGTATTTTCTTTTTCTTTTTGTCACTACATTAATTCAATCAGCAATTTAAAATAATAAATTAAAAATTAAAAAAATCAAAAATCAAAAATCAAAAATCAAAAATCAAAGAAGAAACTTGCATTATGGGTCTAGTCACAAGCTGGCAGGCGAACAGGTCGCATTCAGGTTCATGCGAATCTTAGCCCCAAAAATGACGTTGTTTTGCCATGATATAAAAAGGCACTTTCTAGCCCTTTTTTTAGACCAGCTTTCTATTTTCTCTCTCTAGGTTCATTTTTCTTTAACTTCTCTCTAGAAGTTCATCGAAAAATTTAACAAAATTCAGACATGAACCAAAATTTTCATATTTCAATGCCAAAAAATTCAATTGGCTAATGAAAAATTCAAACTTTTGTTCTTCCAAAAATTTCACAAATCTAGAATCCAGCACCACCTTACTTCGACCATCATGGATTCCATTAGAACATTCAAGGCCTTAACTAAAAATTCATATAAAACCTAGAAATTCATCCAAAAAACCAAGAAAATTCCTATTCAACTAAAAATCTTCAAAAAAAATAAAAACAAAAATCTAGAATCCAATAATCCTACCCAGAAGCTTTAAAAAATCAAACCAAAACCAAAAATTAAATAGAATCAAGAAATTTAAACTCTTCATATTTCAAAAACTCCAAGGATCAAACTAAAACACCAAAAACTCGATTCCCAAAACCCATAAATCCATAAAATTTCAATGCTCTAACTATTTTCAATTACTAAATGCTTCTGTTGCTAATTATCACCTTTTGTGTTATGTGTTGGAATGGGTTTATATAGGGATTCAATCCTTTTTAATTTTGAAAAAAATTAATTCAATCGAATAATGTGATTTGATTTCTAATGAATTGATTTCTTGTAACTTTCTTTTTTCATGTAGATTAGAATCCCTAAAATCATTTAATCATAAATCCAACAATCTGTCCTTGCTTTTCCTTTGTAAAATCTCGTGATTTAATTTTTAGATTTAATTTATGAGATTAATGCCAAGATGTCCCATGATTTTTTCTAGAAAACATGTTCTCTCTTATTTTTCTTTTTTTATTTTTGTTTACCTTTGAATTTTTCACTCTTTGACTAAACATAATTAAAATTAAAATTAAAAACCAAAATTAAAATCAAAATTAAGACTAAAATTAAAACCAAAATTAAAATTTTTAGGCTTTTTAATTCTTAGGCTTAAAATTCATTTTTCGTATTAAAGCTCAATTTGCTACCAATGCCCATTTTCGATTTCGAAAATTTTTTAGACAAATTAGGGTATCTACAGCTACCTATTTTTATACATTTTTTGTGAAACAAGAATTGTACAAAAATCAAAAGACCATTTTGTTCAAGTCTAGAAAGCTGGAAATTTTTAGTTTCAAATCCAAAAATTCACAATTTGGAAATTAAAGAGTTCGTCATTAAATTCAAAGGTTCATAAAACTTCAAAGATTTGCAAGGTTTCATAATAAGAATTGAAAGATTCCAAAACTCCAAATTTGCAAAAAATTCAAAAATTCATAATAATTTCAAGATTCGTAATGATTTAATATTCGCAAAGGCTTTCAAATTCGCAAGAGTTTCAAGTTTCGTAAAGATTCCAAAAGTTCATAAACGATTCAAGATTCTTAAAGATTCTAAGAATCATAAAGGTTTTATGATCTTAAAGGTTCTAAAATTCATAAAAATTTCAAGATTCGCAAAAATTTCAAGATTCTCAAAGGTTTCAAATTCAAAAAAATTTTAAGTTTTATAGAGATTCTAAATTCATAAAGATTTTAGATTTGCAAAGATTTTTAGATTCACAAGAATTTTAGGTTCACAAGAATTTCAAGTTCGTAAAAATTTCAGTTTTGCAAGACTTTCAAGTTTGCAAAACTTTCAGATTCACAAGAATTTAGATTCGTAAGAATTCAGATCTACAAAAATTTTAGATTAATAAAAACTCATATTTGCAAGAATTTTAGATTCATAAATACTTAAATTCGTAAGAATTTAGATTTGCAAAAATTTTAAATTCGTAAAAACTTAGATTCGTAGGAATTCAAATTTGCAAAATTTTTAGTTTCACCAAAATTTCAACATTCAAAGTTTCTCAATACAAGATTCAAAATTTTCAAATTATTTTTGTTAGCGATTCATATCCAATATTCAAAGTTTCATATTTGAAAA